CCAGAATAAACCTTTCCTCCTTTAACTTGTAGGTGTCAGGTACTTTGTCTCAGCAACAAGAAAAGTAACTAAGACAGCTGGTAAAATGATTGGTTTTTGGAAATGAGTTTTTGTGCACAAGAGAATATTTTACCCTCTCTATGAATAGATTCAGAATTCTTTCTATCTCTATCATGTAGATTCTGTTATTTCAGAGTCTTCAAATCTTCTATGGCTTCACTACCTCACATTAATGGAAAGAAGAATTATGATATCTTCTGTTATGGTATAATTTTCAAGGCTTCCCTACCTTTTCTGTTTTTATTTATATATCCTGTGATTCTTATCTTATACTTGAGTTCAGAATTCTCATAATTTCTCAATGAGTTAAACTTTCTTTATCATTACATTGCAATTCTCTCTCCTGTCAAAATCTGTTATATTAATTAAAAATAGCTTGAGGTGTTGAGGGTGTAGCTCAGTAGTAGACCACTTGCCTAGCATTTGTGAGGCTCTGGGTTCTGTGCCCAGCTCTACCGAACAAAAATAGAAACTTGCTATTTCCTCTCAAAGTCTATTGTCAGTGTTGATTTCTTTTTCTCTTCAAACTTTATTTATGTCTAATGTACAACTTTTCTGATTGGCATCAAGCTATATTTCTTATGTACACACTGAACATCTTTAGTTTTTAACTGTTGTATTCAGTCCATTACATTTTTCCATATATTAGAACTTGTGTCTACTATTTTACTTTGTGCTTTTTAAATTATTATTTTCTATTGGTTTGCCCACCACCCCTTTTCCCCCTTTGGTTCCCATCATTGAGTCTTCATTATTTTGCCTCTGTTAGTCTGGAAGATATATACTCTGTTTCTGCCTATTCAGCAATATCCTTGAAATGTTTATCATGTCTTAGCTTAACAAAATCTAAGCTGTTATTTTACCTTTTCTAAAGAACACTACTAGGAGCTTAGACTATTTCAATAATTTTTCCTCCTGGACTTACATAGTATTGTTGACTAGTACTTCATTTCTTAAAAAGACTTCTTTTTTTTCCACTTTAAAAATTTATATAAAATAAAATTAACCATTTGGATGAATTTCTGTGAGTCTCAACACATGCATAGGTTTGTGTAATTACAACCACAAACCAAATGCAGAGCAGTTCCATGACCTCAGAAATTCTCTTGTGCCCCCAGTCCACGTCACCCATAGCTCTTGTTTCCATTCCTGTAGTTTAGCTTTCTAATAGTGGAGTGTGAATGGAATAAGTATGTATGTAACTTTCTGAGATGGACTTTTTTGACGTGGAGTGTAATGGTTTTGACACTGATTCATGTCATAGCATGTGTCAGTATTGCATTCCTGTATATTGCTGGAGACTCTTTCATTGTATATATGTTCTGGTTTGTTTACCTCTTCACCTGTGGGAAGACATTTGATTTGTTTCCAGACTTTCAGTATTACAAATAAAGCTCTATCAACATTCTCCATGAGAGTGAGTGTGTTTGTGTGTGTGTGTGTGTGTGTGTGTGTGATTTTTTAAACATAAAATTTCATGTCTGTCAAGTAGCATTGCTAGGTCCTGTGACAAGCATAAGTACAAGTTTATGAGAAATGGTCAGACTGCTTCCCACAGTGACTGTGCCATTTTTTAGTATTCAACCTCAACAATTTGTGAGAGTCCTAGGGATTATGTCTTCTCTAGAACTTGAGGTCTGTAGGGTGTGTTTGTGTGTGTGTGTGTGTGTGTGTGTGTGTGTATGTGTGTGTGTGTGTATGTATGTTGCCATTCTAATACCTGTATCTTATTTTGGTATCAGTTCACACCTTACTAATAGACAATAATGTTGATCATCTTTTCTTTTGTTATTTGGCATGAGTATGTTTTCCTGTCAAATTTCTGCTCATATTTTTTCCCATTTTAACATAATTTTTTTCTTATTGAATGTGAGAATTCTTAATATAACTTACATACAATTCTTTCATATATATGATGCACCTGTATTTTCTGTTTTGAGTGGTTATCTTTTCATCTTTAATAGTGTGTTTCAAAGAGCAAAAGTTTTTCATTTTGAAGAAATCTAATTATTATTTTTTTCTTTTATGAGTCATGTTTTTGTTGTTGTACCAGTATCTGTGAACATATGATTTCAATCAGTATCACAGATATTTTCTCCTATGTTTTCTTGAAAAATTTTGTAACTTAGCCAGACATGGTTACACGTACCTTTAATCTAGCTACTGTCGAGGCTGAGGCAGGAGGATCACAAATTTGGGGCCAGCCTGAACAATTTAGCAAGACCCTGTGTAAAAATGAAAACATCTGGACATGTGGCTTAGTGTCGGACTTTTCATCCAACTCTGTCCAGGGTGAACAGATCCCCCAAACTAGTTGCCCGCAGACGTATAAGAAAAGTAAGAAAAAATCAAACCAAGAGAGCCAAAATCCTGTGATCAGGTGCTAGCAGCCTCTAGGACTGACTGACTCCTGATTGCCATCTTCAGTAACCTTTTATTAGGAACCCACCAAGGAGGCAGCAGAGGAATCAGAGAATAACAACTGTTTTAGCAAGGACATTACAACTCAGTTATCATAGGAATGTGACCTGACCAGTAAGCCATCATGTTATCTACCTTCACCCATATCTCAGCAAAGCATCTAGTAGTGATCAGGGGCTTACATTGCTTATGCTAGACTTCTTTCAGAACCCAACAGTCATGGCTTGGTCACGCCTCAGGCAATACACCAAAATAGTACCTAAGAATGTCCTTCTGCACAGCTTAGTGGCAGAGCATTCCTGGGTTCAAACCCTAGTACTGGACCCCGCTTCCAAAAAATTTGTCTTTTATTGAAGTCTATGACTTATTTATGCATTAATTATGATATATGATGTAGAGAATGGGCCAGGTTTCCTATTTTTGTGTATCAATGTATTCTGTCCCAATGTGTTGGAAAGATTCTTCTGTGTTATTGAATTGCTTTTGTGCCTGTGTTAAGATTAGTTGGTCATATTTGTCTGGTATATTTCTGGACTCTGTATTCTATGCCATTAATGTAGGTTTTTGCCTTTTTCCTATACCATGCTCCCTTATTTAATTTTATAGTGAATCTTAAAATTGGATCATGTGATTCCTACAACTTTAGTTTTCTTTCTAGAAATAGTTTCAATTATTCTGCTTCCTTTTTACTTTAAAATCAATTTCAGAGCCCGTATGTACAGCAAATCTTTTTTTTTCGTTTTTTTTTTTGTTTTGTTTTGTTTTTCTTTGGTACTGGGAATTGAACTCACAACCTTGCGCTTGCCAGGCAGACACTGTGCCGCTGAGCTAAATCCCCAGCCCCAGCAAATCCTATTGAAACTTTGACTGGGATGACAATTTATGGTCAGTCTAGGGAGACTTGGCACCTTTGCTGTGAGGGTATGATCGGAAAGTATGATGTATGTTTAAATTTTTGAAGATGTATTACAGTAAACAGCACACTGCCATTAGTACCCCTCGGAACACTCCCCTGTGCTTCAAACACCCTTGTCCCAGCATTCTTGCCACTTTTCTGAAGCAGTTCTAGAAAGTCCTCTTTGGTGAGTGTCTTTAGTTGGGTTGTGGCTGCCACGATGTCATGAGGTCTGAAATCAGTTCAAAATGTTTACTTTTAATAGTTACTTTGATTTTGGTTTTGACTTTGGGCAAGAGCCAGGAGTTTTGTAGTGCCAGATCCTGGTAATGAGATGAAAGTGGACACACTAATGTTTTATGCATCTGCCTTTTCTTTGGAAGGCAAGTGGCAGCAACATTCATTGTATATTTTATTTCTGTACAGACACAAAAGAGAATTTCCAGAATTGCCTTAGAAATTGGCAAGAAACATGGAATAAGTCTGTTTCAAGCTACTGGGAGAATTTTGAGGGTGACTGGTAGCAATGTCTTTTGCTATAATAAAGTTTTTTAATTTAAACATTTACCTTATATTTTGATCACTCTTGATACATTGCATTTTTTGGTTTACAGACATATGTCTCTCTACTTACTTAGCTCTTAAGTGATTTCCTTCATAAACTCTTTGCAGTTTTGAGCCTGCAAGTTCTCTGTGTGTGTGTTTGTGTGTGTGTGTGTGTGTGTGTGTGTGTGTGTGTGTGTGTGTATGTGTGTGTGTCTGTGTGAGAGAGAGAGAGAGGGAGAGGGAGAAAGGGGTCTATTTAGATTTTTAAAAAACTTTTATTAGTACCTATTGGCAGTAACCAATGATTACATTCATTGTGGGGACTTGGTACATGTACATAACTCACTTAATTCCTCCTCCCCCGCTTCCCCCTCCCTCCTTGTATGTTTTGGTACGCTGACATCTAAGAACTGTATTCTTTAAGCTATTGCCTCTGATATTTTTTAACAATTTCAGTGTTCATTACACATATGGAGAAATATTTTATTTTTGTATGTTTATCTTCAGTCATACAATCTTGCTGAACTTATATTAGTTCTAGGTTTTTTTGGGTACATTTCTTGGCATTTCTATGTGAGTAGTCATGTCATTTGAGGATAATGTCCTAACACTTGATTGCCAGACCTTGGTGTTACTTCCCAGGACTCACTCACTGTCCCTGTGTTTGTCTTTTATTGATTCCTCCTCAGATTTCTGCTGCTTTTGCTTGCTTGCTTACTTCCTTGCTTGATGGAGGCCAAGGGACATAGATATAGAAGCTTAATTAATTCTGTGACTTTAAAAAAAGTACATGTCTGGGAACAAAAGAAGTGTATGTTTTATTGTGTTTAATCCAGCTGTTTGTCTATAGGAGGAAATTCAAAAGTATCTTATTTGCCTCTTTCACAGGTGTGTTACTCATTTAAAGATCCCTCTAATTTCCAGAATTGTCTCTACATTCTCTTGTGAGGAGCTTTTGCTACTAATGTTTTTCTAACGTTTGCTAAGAGAAGAAAGTGCGGAATAACTATGAGACTGTTTTTAATATATTTTATTTTTATTTTTTTGTTACTGACCTGTTTCTCAATTTTCTCTGTAGGGCAGAAAAGACTGAAGTTCTGAGCGAAGACCTTCTTCAGGTAAGGCTGTCATTGACTGGGTTCATGTCACCAAAGATGCTTTGCCTTCTGAAATAAAGCTGCTCTCCATTTTGTGTGTGTGAGATGTCTGTTTAGATGTATCAGCTGCTTCTGGCCCTCTGGGTACAGGCTCTTTGGAGCTACAACTTTTTGTGTTTCACAACAGTGCTTGGCATTTTGGATACAGTTGGCCATCCCATATATGCACGTGCACATCTGTGGGTTCAAACAACTGTGGATCAAAAACATTGAGAAAAAAATTGTACTGGTACTAAACATATACAGACTTCTATGATAGTCATTAATTTTTAAATAATGGAGTATAGCAAGCATTTATATAACATTTACATTGTATTAAACATTACAAATAATCTAGTGATTTACTATTATTAGAAATATCTAGGGATTCACTATGCCTTTTTATATAAGGATTTGAGCATCTGTGGATTTTGTTATCCCAGGGGGTCTTGGCAACTGAGCCCCCACAGATACTGAGGGTGGCTATGCAATGTAGCTAAGATTCTTGAGGAGAATGTTAAAAGTCTTCATTATATGATTAGCAAGCAAGCTCCAGTGTCTGCTGTTGTTCCCCCTCCAGCTCTCCAGCATTGGATGATACCTTCCCCAAAGTCCTTATCTCTAGAAACAGGTGTCATGATTGTTCAGATTGATAACTTCACCTCTCCTGACTTGCCCTTCCCCCATGGAACCCCCTATTCTGTCTGCAGGTGGAAAAGCGCCTGGAGCTGGTAAAGCAAGTGTCTCACAGCACACATAAGAAGCTCACCGCGTGTCTACAGGGCCAGCAAGGGGCAGAGGCTGACAAGCGCTCCGTAAGTGCCCTTGACGGGACCCTGGGCAGCTCCAGCTTGCCTCCCGGCGGCAAAAGCCCTGTTCCTCGGGCATTGTTTGCTGTGGCTGTTCATGTGGCCTCTTACTGTGCGTATGCCGAGCTGCTTGCTTCTGCAGAGCGACAGCCCTTCCACTGTTCTTGCCTGAATCAGTACCCTCTCCAGGCAAGGTGGCTAGGTCCTTGTCCTTGACTTCTCCAGAGTGAGGCTCCCAGGAGGGTAGCAAAATCATGCCTGAAACCTCACCTCTAGGGGAGCTTTACCCTTGATGAGCGTCTTCATGCCTCATCTGGCTCATTCATAGATTCCATCAGCCCAAAAGTATTTTAAGATCTCATGGAAAAAACAATGCCATAATTTTAGAGGTTATAAGTGAAATTGACTTCACTATAACAATATACTGAAGAGGGCCTGCTGAATAAGGCTGCTCTAATATCTTTGCTTATAACCTACATCAGTAGTAACAGGCATTGTGGAATGTGTTTCCATTTCATACTTAGTGTAAGCAGTCTTGGCAATCTTACTTCCCTCTTACCCACTATCTCCCCAAGTCTACTGAAGATTAACAGATACTGTGAGACATTACTTGTTCTCAGTACCAGAGATTTGCAACCTAAGAGAGCTTTTCTCCTTCCTTGAGTTTACAACTTACAAGTTTACTGTTCATTAGATTTTCCTGACCTGGAGTTAGTGTTGACTTCCTCTTCATGTGGTCTCGCTGCTACCCCCAGCTTGATTTAACCTTGTCTCTGTTGGATGTCTGGTCACGCACCCCAGTGCTTTCTCCTGTCTCCTGCTGAAGGGCGAGCACCTGCTCTGCTTACTCTGGCACTCATTTCTTCTTCTCTTCCCAGCCCTGGTTTCTTCTTTCTTAATAATACTAATTGGGTGTCCCTTATCCAATATGTTTGGAACCAGCAGTGTTTTGGATTTCGCATTTTTAGTATTACTTGCATATACATAATGAATGATCTAGGGAATGGACCCAAGTCTAAGCACGAAACTCTTTTGTGTTTCATATACAGCTAAAACACATAACCTGAAGTTGATTTTATGCAGCATTTTTAGAGCACCTGTGTTTTGGCTGCAGCCTGTGACATGAAGGCAGGTGTGGAATTTTCCACTTGTGGCATTGTAGCGGTGCTCAAAATGTTTCAGATTGGGAGTGCTTGGGTTTCGTATTTTAGAACTAGGGATGCTTAACCTATATTACAAGCAAGAATCATTTGTGTATGGTATAAATTAGACTCACAGACCTGGAAAATAGCTATAGAAATAATTCTCTGTGTCAGGGATTTCAGCAAAGGGAACCTGAGTAATCTAAAACAAGAGTTTATAAAATTATTTTGGATGTGAAGCCCTTCTATCAAGTGCATATTGAATGTGGAACTCCAGGAGCTGTTCCTGATAGGGCCTGGAGCCATGCCTGCCTCTGACCCACATTCTGTCTTTTACTCCAAGAAGCACACTTTTTAAAATAATTGATATTGAGTATGGGATGTTGTGCTATCAAGAGTCCCATCTGACTGTTATCAACAGAGGCTTGAAACCAGTCTTTGATGTTTATAAGTGTATCAGTACTAGCATTTTTTTTCTGGGATAAAACAGAGTTACCTGGATGTGTGGAGTTTTCATTGAATTGAGACCCTTGCAAATTCTATCAGATAGGACATGTTTGGCTCCCTGAGTGTTCTAAACTGTAGCGACTTGCTGGCAAATTTAAGGTATGGCAAGAGCAACAGATCAGAAGAGATTGCTGTTGAAAAGACAGTTTGTTCCTCAGAGTTCGTAAGAGGAGGGGATAGGACAGGCCACATGGGATCATACAGGAAAGCACCAGGGTGGGTCAGGGAACAGAGGGCAGGGATGTAAGCCAGAGCCTTTATTATAGTTTCTGCAGGAAGGAGCAAGTGAGGCAGGTTAGGCAAGTTCAGGATTGAGTAGCCTGAGAAACTTTAACAGGCTTCAAGGTAGGATGGCTCTCCATAGCTATCTAGTACCTGGCCCCAGGAGAACAAATGGATAATGGCCTGGCGTGTAAGAGCTGGTAAAGGAGATGGCTGGAGTGTAGGCTCTGAATTGGTTGGTTTGTTTGTGGAAAAAAGTGCTCTGGCTGAATTGTTTGCTTTCTGTAGGAATTGTCTAACCCTTAGAGGGGCAGTCCCTTCAATGACCCCAAGGCCCTAAGACCTGGTCAGAGCATCTGAATACAGGAAATGAAAGTCTTGATTACTGACTTCAGCAAAAAGACATTTTACATCTCATTTAACAAGATGTCTGAAGTAACTGTTCCCAAACTTTATTTACAGCTTTGGGTCACATCTCTGTAATGTTGGAGCTCCCATGTACAATCATAATGTGGCTGCTGAAGCTCCAGACATCATATCTTCACATAGCCATGTAAGCAGGTAGTTAGCACATGAATTATCTTTGCATACTTTTTTATCAGAAAAAAATTCTCTCTCAGAATTTATTTTGTGTGTTTAACTGCAAGAGAGACCAAGAAAAGAAAATATGTCAGAGAAATAAGTTTGCTGTGACTGGCCATGATTCATCTGTGGGAACACACATTGTCCAGCTTCTCGTAGCAGGGAGGGCACGCAGCCATTGTCAGCCCTGAAGGCTGCAGCCACATGTGCAGCAGTGGACCTGCACAGGGAGAACCTGTTTCCCTGACCTGGAAGCACTGTGCAGTGGATCTCAGTGCCCAAGCACAGGTAGATCAGGGAATCTACTGCACAGATGCCAAGTACTAGATCCTGTCAGTATTTTCTTGGGCTTATCAGTTTCTTTATCAGCTTATGAGTGACTAAATGATCTGAAAATCATTTTTTTCTAAAATAACACATTAAGAAATTTAATAGGAAACCAGACACTTTCAAATTGTCTAAATACTGAAGTAATGTGTGTCAGTTAGGGAAATGCATTGAGATTTATGGAATGGGTAAAGCAGAAAAGGAATTTTTAAAAATATTCTAAAAGAAAATAAATGAAAGGGTTCAGGAAAAGGGCAGAGGGAGGGCAAACACTATCCAGGCACGCCAGGTGTCAAGAAGTTCAAGGGATTGCTGCCCACAGAAGGAATGGTGCCAATCACTGTGAGCAGGTAGGGTCATAGCCTCCCGGTCCTACTACTGTCATAGAGCCTCAGGACTAGGAGGGGCTTTATGGATGTCCGTGCAGCAGGACAGGCTTTACGGATGTCCGTCTGTGTTATTGGATGCCATGGCAGTTATTTCTCTTAGAAGCTCATTAACTCCTTAACATTTAGTCCTAATTATTTAGTCCAGTTATTTCTCTTAGAAGCTCATTAACTCTTTAACATTTTAGTCCTAATTTCTAACACTTAAGCTTTTATTATATATGATTAAAAGTTTGGCCAGAAAGTTCATTTTCCATGGGTGCTGAGTTAGACTAGATTCCCTATGAAAGATGGAGAATAAAAATGATATGAATTCCACTTCCATTTTGTATCTTGAATAAAGCTGGTTGGCTTATAGGCTTTTAAGGCTCTCAACGTAATAAGGATGTTTGGTGTTTTGAAGTCCTTGCATATCTAAAAAAGAGGTCACATTCAACAGATAAACAGCTAGATGTGAAGGTGTTTCTCCACCTTATTCCCAAATGCTAGGTATTGCACCTGCCCTGTAAGGCAGTGTACATGCCAGGTACCAGACAAATCTGACAGGATCTTGGGCCTGGAAATGAGCCCAGGGGCAGCGGCCATTGCAGCACTAATTACTCAGATCATGCGGCTTAGTGCTGAGAAAAGGACCTCATAAGGAGTTCAACAGTAGCAGGTTCCAAGAAGATGTGTCCACTGGGGACAAGTAGGAGATGGTAGGATCAAGAAGGGTGTAGGTGCTCCCAGGCAGGGCCAATGTGTGCCGAGTTCCTAGAGCACTCCTGAGAAACATACAGGTGACCAGAGCGATGAAGACAATAGCGAGTAAGAAGGAAAACTGCATGAGGTGGGACCACAGGGAACTGCGTCACAGCTCAAAAACCATGGCAACAATCTGGACTTCATCCCTGAGAGCAAGCAAAAGCCAACATTTTTGGTTTTGTTTTTTTTTTTTTTGTTCGAAGGGATTTTATCTGTTTGGTTGTTTTGCTTCACAGCACTGCACATTGAACCCAGGGCCTCACACTTTCTAGCCCAGCTGTACACTGAGCTGTATCACCAGTCCTTCTTGAAACTTTGAGACGTCTCATTAAGTTGCCCAGGCTGGGTTCATCCTTTAGCATCAGCCTTTGAGTAGCTGAGATTTCAGGCTTTCACCTCTTAAGCTAAGGTTTTATTAGAGAGCCACATGGTCGGATTTGTTCATGATTTTGTGACTGATAGATTAAGGTGTTGATGCCATGATAAAAGTGAGGGCAGTTAGATAACCACAGGAACCATCTGGACAGGCACGGTAGGAAAAGAGACAAGTGTGAGAGAGAGCACCATGCATGGTAGAAACTGTGGGAAGAGTATTCACACTGATCATTGAATGGATATTGGGGCACAAGGAAAAAGAAGGAAGTTCATGCACTCTGGCTTGAGTGACTGATGAATCCATACAGTTGAGATTTCCTGGGGGGAAAATACCAGTTGAGAAGATCAGTGGCCCTTGAATCAAGAACCTGAGAAACAGAAACATTTCAGGCTCTACCTGGAAGGTCTAGCAAAGATCTACCCAGTTGCATCTGCATCACAAATATCTTTGGTGTGTGTGGGGGGGTGGACTTTACTAATGAGCCACACCCAAACCCCTTGGACATTGTCTTTTATTCTTTCCTTTCCACACTTCATAGCCAAGCTTTCTGCTGGCTCTTCCTCTAGAGAAATCCCATTTTGCTTTAATGTACCACCCTCATTCAAGCAGCTGGCATACAGTGTATTCCCTCCAGCCCTCTCCTCCTCCTTTATTTTCTGTCTTCTTCAACAACCCAAGTGAGTGTTTAAAGTGGTAATCAGACAATCTCCCATTCCTGCT